GATATCTTTAGATTTTATTTTATTTATTTGTAATTATTTTTTAAATTATAATATGTTCCTGGTGAATTAAACCTTTTATCACTATGAAGACCCTCTTTCTCTCTAGAAACACTTTGTCTTAAATTAGAGACTTGCTAAATTGCTGAGGTTGGCTTTGAACTTGTGATCCTCCTGCCTCAACCTCTCTGAGTTGCTGGGATTACAGGTGTGCACAACTGCACCTGGCTCTTTTTTCCATTTATTTACTTTCAATCTTTCTATATCCTTTAAATACTGGATATAAAACAAACAAAATCTAAATATATGCTAATTACAAGAGACATATCAAGAACAAAAAATGCATTTGAATCAAATGTATGATATGTCAAGATCATTGTATTGTCATGAGCAACTAATAAAAAAAAAGAACAAAAATGATTTTAATTAAAACATGTAATCCATTTACACTTAATGCAATTACTATAATACCAAATCAAAATCTTACTTTGTACTTTCTAGCTTGTCCTGTTTTGTTTCTTTTTCTCTCCTTTCTTGCTTTGTATTTAGATGACTATTTTTAAATTACTCCATTTTCCCCTTTACTAATTGGAAATTAGACACTCTGGTTTTATTCTTTTCATGTAGGAGTTAACAAACTATGGTCTGTGAGTTAAACCTAGCCTGCTGCCTGTTTTGGCAAACAAAGTCGTATCTTCATACATCATGCCCATTTTATATATTGTCTATGGCTGCTTTCATGCTACAACAGAGTCAAGTAGATACACAGGGCTGTCGGCCTGCAAAGACCAAACTATTCACTATTTATTGCTTTATAGAAAAAGTTTGCCAATGCTACTATTAATGGGTTTCTTTTTCTTTTCCTTCCTTCTTTCGTCCTTCCTTCTTTCTTTCTCTTATTGAACTTTACCAGAGACACTTTACTACTGAGTTACATCCCTAGCCACTTTTTAATTTTTATTTTTGAGATGAAATTGCCAAGGTTGACTTCCAATTTGCGATCTTCCTGTCTCAGCCTTCCAAGTAGATGGGATTGCAGCCAAGTACCACTGTGCCCAGCTATTTCTTTTTCTCCTGTCCGCCCCACCAAGGTGCTGGGGATCAAACTCAGGGCCTCCCACATATTAGGCAGGTACTCTGCCTACACAAATCCAAGTGGAAATCTCCCCCCTCCCCCAGGACCAGGGATTGAACCCAGGGGTGCTTTACCACTGAGCTACATCTCCAAACCTTTTTATTTTGCTTTATTTTGAAACAGGGTCTTGATAAATTGCCCGGGCTAACCTTAATCTTGTAATCCTCCTGCCTCAGCCTCCAGAGTAGCTGAGATTACAGGTATATGCCATTGTGACCCACTCTGGTAGCTATTCTTTAAAAATGCAATATGCACACTTAATTTATCAAAGTTTTAATCAAGACCTTTATCCTCTTTTCGGGGGAAGTATCAGGGATTGAATTCAGGGGCACTTGGCCACTGAGCCACATCCCCAGCCCTATTTTTTATTTTATTTAGAGAAAGGGTCTCACTGAGTTTCTTAGCACCTTGCTGTTGCTGAGGCTGGCTTTGAATTCTCGATTCTCCTGTCTCAGCCTCTGGAGTCACTGGAGTCACTGTGATTACAGGCGTGTGCTGCCAAGCCCATCCAACCTTTATCCTCTGATGGATAATTCAAGGCCCTTAAAATATTTTAGCTCCATTTACCCCTTCCCATATATTATATGTTAATGTAGTCAGGAATTTTAGTATTTTTTTTTACAGAAGAGTTATGGAGATAGTACGTCAGTCCCTACATCCCTTTCACCTTTCTTGCCTGATGCTAATACTACATAACTTTGGTGCATTTGTCAAAACTATGATGTTGACATTTACCCATTAATTGAACTTCAGACTTCATTTTGATTTTATATTTTCCCACTAATATCTTTATCTGTCCAGGAACCAACAAAGGGTACCACATTGCTTTTTATATGTATGTGGTACTTGGGATTGAACCCATGGGGCGCTTTGCAACTAAGCTGCATCCCACCCACCCCTGCTTTTTCAGGTTGGCCCGGAACCTGCAATCCTCCTGCCTCAGCCTCCCAAGTCACTGGGATTACAGGTATGGGTTACTGCAGGCTACCACATTGCATTTAGTCCTTCCCCTCCCCGCCGCCCCCCCCCAGTACTAGGGATCAAATCCAGAGCCTGGCACTTTCTAGGTAAGTGCTTAACCACTGAGCTATATCCCCTGCCCTCAGGCAGATATTTTGTAAAATATCCTTCAATTTGGATTTCTGTGATGTTTTCCTTATACATAGAGACTGAGGTTATGTGTTTTGGGGGGGAAGAATACCACAGGCTGGCATGATGGTCTCATTACATCATATAAGGAGGTACAATATCAGCAGTGATGCTCATCTTGATTACCTAGTGAGGGTAGTGTTTGCCAGGTTTTTCCACTATTTTCCTTTAAGCCACACTGGAGGTGTGGGGGGTATGGAGTGATTAGGCTCCATTTCCTGAAAGGGGCATAGATTCTTGTATTATTTGGAATTCTTGTGCAGGAAAGGTTTGTCTCAGTTCACCACACTCTATTTATTCCGTCATTTATTTTATGGGTATGAAGTTGTGTGTATTTGTTTTTATAACTTTGTGTTATAGTCCACAAAGTTATATTGTATTGTTGCTCCATCATTCCAACTTTAGCCATTAGGAGCTCTTTCTCCTTGGCTCTGATGACCCTTTGGCATATTCCAATCATTGTGGAGATCTTAGGTCATTGTGGAGCTGCTTAGGTCCTCACTAAGCACTAAATTGCTGAGGCTGGCCTTGAACTTGCAATCCTCCTGCCTCAGCCCCCCCACCACCTGGAGCCTCTGGGATTACAAGTATGCACCACCACACCCAGCCAGATGTTTGTTTTCTCCAAATCATGTTAAAAGTTGTCACCCTACCATTTACCTTTAAGCAATTCTAACAAATCTTTGAATTTTCCATCTGAGCTATATCCCCAGCCCCCACAAATCTTTGAATCTTTATTTTAGCTCTTCTGAGTCCAAATTCCATTGACAATGATCTGACTTTCTGATACAGGATTCACATTCCAATGGAAGTCTCAAACATTCCCAGGTTTTCTTTGTTTCTTTACCCCACTCTAACCTCCTTTCTTCCAAAATTTTTGGTGATTCTTGGATTACCCTGTAATCTCCCCAAATAATTCTGGCAGCTCTCTGTACTTACCCTGCTGTTCCAATCCACTTCAACTGTCTTATATTAGAATTGCTTATAGTGCTTGTGAGTTTCTAAGGGGATAGGGATCAGAGCTTAGTCATCTTTTTGTCCTCTGCAATGCCAGAATATGTCTAGCCTCCAATGTCTCCCAAGGTTAAGGCACACACTCTACTTTGTTCATAATACCTGAATATCACATCCAACTATTTAAGAATTAAATTCACTTGATATCTTTCTTCTATCCAAGAACTTGGCAAGTCAAAGAACTGGAGGCTTCTAGAGCTTTCTTGCATCCAGTGTGGGGGAAATCTAATCCTGTACTATCTCCCTGCCACAAGTAGGAGTGGGCTACTGTACATATTGGCATCATCTATAGGATCAAGCATGCTCTGCCTGGGGCTCTAGAAATCTGGATATCTTCTCTGATGACCTCAGGGGAGGTTTTATCTCCAGGAGCATTATTGGGTGTCCATCATGTGGATATTTCTCTGCCAAAAGGGGGAGCCAGCTCTCTGCCATTGGAGCCATATGTCACAGGTACTGAAGAGCTGGCATAGATCTGGAAGGAAAGGGGGACCTTTGATTTGTCAAAACATGCAACAGCTGAAGTCTAAAATACAGACTGAGGGGCTGGGGCTGGGGCTCAGTGGAAGTGCACTTGCCCGGCATATGTGAGGCACTGGGTTCGATTCTCAGCACCACATATAAATAAATAAATAAAAATAAAGGTCTGTCAACAACTAAAAAAAAAAAAACTAATTAGAATAAAATACAGACTACAGAGGTTTTTAGTGTTCAATGGGTCTCATGTGAGGATGCCGAATTCATTCCAGTATTAAGGACCCCGTTAATTGGGATTGCCTTTTTCTGGGTGACCTATTGTGAGGATTGCCTTAGGCCTGAGCCTAAGCAACTCCATTTTAAAAACTGCAGTTTGAAACCTGCAGTCTCACCAGGCATACTCACAGAGCCCTCCAGTATGGCCTCAAACAAGTTATTTCCGCTCACCTTGATAAACAGAGTAAAGCCCCTGGCAGGCTGTCCTCTCCTGATAAAAGGGAAAGGCGAGAAGATCAGGGAGGAGACCACCAGACCAGATGTTTCTGACCCCAGGGTAAATGATGTCATGGAGAAACCCGGTGGTAGCTGATAAGGATTGAAAGGGGGTCAAAAACCCCCAAATTTAGTATAAATAATAGAGCTGATGAACAGGGATTCAGCCAGCTGAAACAAGGATGCATTCAGTGGTAGAGTGTTGCTTAGTATGCATGAGGCACTGGGTTTGATCCTCAGCACCACATAAAAATAAAAAATAAAGGTATTGTGTCCACCTAAAACTAATATATATATATATATATATATATATATATATATATATATATATATATATATTAAAGAACCTATAGAGTGAAATTGCATTGAGTAGTTTGAGTGAATAAAGCACTGAAAGGGGCAGAAGCACGTGGACCTTCTTTATTTCTCCCCTCGACTGCATACGTCGCAATTTTGCCCCCTCGAGACACCTATGCTAGGGACTCAACTCCTTCCCTCTCTCCCTGGAATTACCTAAAACTTCCCACCTCTCCTTGTTTGTGTGTGTGTCACAAACGTGTGCAGGCGTGTCTGCCTATTGCAGATGGGAATACAGGGATGTCGGAAGAGGTTTGAACTAGGGGGCAAAGGAATGGGACAAATCATTAAAAAAATCAAATCTGCCATTAGGACCAACTCAAGCCAGTCATCCTGTCCCATCCTTGTCTACTGAGTCTGACTTACTGACTTTGATGGATAACTTTCCAAAACAGGAATTTAGTTTTATTTCTAAAATCAGAAAAAGCCAGTGAAAGTGAGAGACACTGAGTCAAGAGCAAGAATTTCTCCCCTGAGATGGAGAAAATCTTTCTCCCCACCAAGTGCTGCTGGTGCCCCTGGAAACTGGATTTCTTCCTCCTACCACATGTGCTGCTGGCACAAGTCCCCTTCAGCTGGGCTGGGTTCCCTCACACCCAAAAATGCCAGGTCACTGCAGGGCAGGCTGTAGAGACTCCAGGGGGTCTGTCCTGCGCTTCCGACCTGGCCCAGCAAGGGCGCTCCTGACAGCCTCACAGACAGAGGGAGCTGCAGCCAGGTGTGCCTGAGCCTCAGGGATGGAGCATCTGAAGAGAAGGCTCAGCAAGGCTACAGGGATTACCTGTGGGGAAGAGGCAAGGAGAAGTAAAGATAGAGAAAGTGAAATCATCTAAGGAAGAACCCTGGAGAAGCTAGAGCATCCATCAGGCTGGATGCAAAAATAGGTTGTTTTCAATACTAGAGAGTGGTAATGAGGTGGCTCAAGAGCAGAGGGAAGCCAGGTGTGGCGGCCCATGCCTGTAATCCCAGTGGCTCAAGTAGTTGAGACAAGAGGATCATAAGTTCAAGGCCAGCCTCAGCAACAATGGTGAGGTGCTAAACAATTCAGTAAGACCCTGTCTCTAAATAAAATACAAAATAGGTTTGGAGATGTAACTCAGTGGCTGAGTGCCCCTGAGTTCAATCCCCAGTACCCACCCACCCCACAAAAAAAAAAAAAAAAGAGAGCAGAAAGAAAACTTCATCTTAACCCAGTAAACTATTCATCCTTCAAAATCCAGCTCAAAGACCCCACTCTTCTTATTGACTCCCCTCCAAGCCAGAAGGGAGCATTCCTTTTTGGTATATTTTTCACACTTCTGTTATCACTTGTCACTGTCATGTTCCCCATGAATGGGGAGCTCCTGGAGAGAAGGCTCAGCAGAATATCACTGAATTTTGTAAACCAAATATTAAGCAAAGTTCCTGACATACTAAAAGTACTCAGTGTTTGTTGAGTCACCAGCAGAGGGCAGGCTACCTGTTCCTTCTCCTGTGCAACCTGGATGTGGCAGGAGATGAGAGCAGCCCGAATTTCATCCGAAAGTGGCTGAGGAAAGTGGATCGCTTGGAGGAGACTCTCAATGCATCGGGCCTTGGACTGCCCAGAGAACCGCTGTTGAAGAAGTTGTTAAGATCAGCGTCGGCTAGAAGACCAAGGGAACTAAGAATGGAGAGAAGAAAGAACTGGGGAATTGGGAGACTAGGATCCTAAATACTGGCTATAGAGGTTACAGGGAACTTGTCCCTTTGGGCAATCCTGAAATCCCCAAATGTAAAGAAAAACTGGGCTAAAGAAGTGGGTGATGCATCAATGTTTATAGCAGCACAATTCACAATAGCTAAACTGTGGAGCGAGCCAACCTAGATGCCCTTCAGTGGATGAATGGATTAAAAAAATGTGGCGGGGCTGGGGATGTGGCTCAAGAGGTAGCGAGCTCGCCTGGCATGCTTGCGGCCCAGGTTCGATCCTCAGCACCACATACAAACAAAGATGTTGTGTCCGCCGAAAATTTAAAAATAAATATTAAAAAAAAATGTGGCATATGTACACAATGGAATTTTACTCAGCAATAAAAGAGAATAAAATCCTGGTATTTGCAGGTAAATGGATAGCATTGGAGAAAATAATGCTAAGTGAAGTTAACCAATCCCCCCAAAAAAACAAACGCCAAATGTTTTCTCTGATATAAGGAGGCTGACTCATGATGAGGTAGGGAGGGAGAACATGGATGAATAGATGAATTCTAGATAGGGAAGAGGGGAGGGAGGGAAAGGAAGGAGGCAGGGGATTAGCAAGGATGGTGGAATGTGATGGACATCATTATGCAAAATACATGTATGAAGACACGGATTGGGTGTCAACTTACTTTACAGAGATATGAAAAATTGTGGTATATATGTGTAATAAAAATTGTAATTAAAAAAGTACATGTACAAAGAATTTGCGTGAACATACTTTTACAAATATATGAAAATTTGTGCTCTATATGTGTAATAAGAATTGTAATACATTCCTCTGTCATGTATTTTAAAAAATAAAATAAAAAAAGAAGTTGGTGGTGGGCCATGAGGTTGGGTTAAACTGGAATTAATGATGAATTAGTTCTGCAATCACGTCCCAGCAACCCCACAGATAGGCAATTTTAAACTGAACTCCCTCCCTCCAGTTTCTTTCATAATAAAATCCACCCTGCACATTGCTGTCTAGCGATCAGTAAATAATGCTTCCATTTTGTCAGTATACTTCTGTTAGCTTAGCACTGCCAGAAATAAAATGCAAGCCACATATGAATCTTTTAAGTTTTCCAATAGGTGCGTTTAAAAAAAAAAGTGAAATCATTGTTAATACATTTTACTCAACCCAATATATTAAAGTTATTTCAACCTTGTAAGCAATATTAAAAACTATGAATGAGATATTTTATGATATTTTTGCAATAAATCTTTGAAATCTGGGGTTTATTTTTTATTATTTAAAAAAAATTTAGTTGTAGGTGGACACAATACCTTTATTTTATTTACTTATTTTTATGTGGTGCTGAGGATTGAACCCAGTGCCTCACACGTGCTAGGCAAGTGGTCTGTCACTGAGTCACAATCCCAGCCCCATGAAATCTGGGGTTTATTTACAATTACAACACATCTCAATTTGAGTGCTTGATATGCAAGGCTAAAAAGTGAGGTTCAGTCCTACAAACACAATAATGTTACATTTAATGAAAAAAATTTTCAGCTGGATGCAGTGGTGCACGCCTGTAATCCCAGCAACTTGGGAGGCTGAGGCAGGAGAGTTCCAACTTGGAGACCAACTTCAGCAACTCAGCAAGGCCCTAACATTGTCTCAAAATAAAACTTACAAAAAAGGGGGGACTGGGGATGTAGTTCAGTGGCTAAGCAACCCTGGTCTCAATTCCCAGTACCAAAAACAAGAAAGAAAAATTTCACTACTTTAATTTTTATATAAAATTAAAAATTCACACTAGCCACATTTCAAATGTTCTATAACCATACGTGGCTGCTGACCATTGTTTTGGACAGTACAAATCTACGAATATTTGGCAAGTCCAAATTCCTGTCTGGCTTTAACTTTTCACAATCCCTTCTCTTCCTGCTCCTTTGTAATGCCTCATTACTATGTAAAGTTACTCTCCACTCTAGTCATGTCTGTGTTCCCTACATAGCACACCTAGTCCTCCTTCTGACCTTTGGCTAATGTGTTTACTAATATGAATAAGTTCTGCCTTTCAACTATCCAAGTCAAAACCACCAAGTCTAAATCAAATATCACCTCTTCCATGAAGCCTTCTGCTACTACAGTGCAAACCAACCCCATCTTCTTTGAAGTTCTATTGGACTTCAGTAGGTCCATGGGTTGTTTCAGGACCCTAATGGGTGCTCATTAAATGTTGGATATATTGATTTTTTTTTCACATAGGGTTGCCAGATTTAGCAAACAGAAATATAGGATATTCAGTTATATGTGAAATAACGGGAAAAAAATTCATATACATTCCAAATACTGCATGGAACATTTATACTTTAAAAAAAAAGTGTTCGTTATTTATCTGAAATTCAAATTTAACTGGTTGACCTGAATTTTTATTTGCTAAAACTGGCAACTTTACTTTCAAGGTCATCCCTCATGCTAGCTGCTCAGCATCTGTTCCTCCTCCTTCTGGAATCTGCATCTTGTTTTCCTCTGGAGAACTATGGTTTTCCCCTGCTCAGGCCAGAAGTTTTGATTGAAGCTCACCTCCCACCCTTTCCTCCATCACCATGTTGTAGGGAAAGCACACGAATAAGGTTGGGCAGTGATTGGTTCAGGGGTGTGCAGGGGACCAAATAAAAGCCAATGAGAGCATTCCCCCAGGCATTTGTGGGTCTCACAGGACAGATGGAGTCTTTTCCTGCTGGGGTTGCTAAACTGGCAAGGATATCAGGCTGGTACTACTTATGGTCGATTTGCCACCTACTGGAGAAGATCTGTCCCAGAATGAGAGCAACAGAAGAAAGTAGAGGTAAGAGGTGAAGTTTCTCAGTCCCACCATCAGAGAATCTGGCTGCCCTAGACTGTTCCATCTATAGGAGCAATCATTTGCGTTCTTTAGTTTACACCAGTATGAATGGGGTTTGTGTTACATACTTGTAGCTAAAAGAATCTTGCCTACTAGTTTTTGTTTCACAAACAAGAACCAATGTGTGCACACACACTCAGAGGGGGGGATGCATCTGACACAAGGAGGAGGAAAGGCACAAAGCAGAAAAATCAGCCCTTACCGCTACACATCTCTCTGCCTCTGCAAAATGCCTTCCAATGGCAGCCTAGGTTTTAAGGCCAGGCCCACCCCATCACTTTACCTGCAGCATGGCCAGTGCCCTCCAGAACAGCTTGGAGTTGCCAATGCGGAGGTCCAACATGTAGTTTTGTAGGATCTTCCCAAGAAGAACATGGGCCCCTGTACTCACTGTATTCAGTATCCACTTGGTGCTTAGCTCACGCTGAAACTTCTAAAAATGGCAGACACATGGGGAAATGGAAAATTAGAAGATGGGAGAGCTGCAAGATAGAAAGGGCTGCATTACTAGACAAGACCTAAGGGTGGAAAACCAGGAACTAAAAGACAGACATCACTTGTTTAAGCAGCACAGGGTTTAAATACTAGGATAATGGGTGTAAACCAGAACATCTCAGGCAAACCTAACAGCTGTACCCATTTGTGTTTTTAAACCCTGGGCAAATATTTTTTCTGAGTCCTTCCGTAGTAGGTTTTGCTCTTGCCAAAAACTTATTTTTGCTCCTTGAGTACCAGAAAAGGGAGGATATAAGTCCTGGGACTCATCCACTAAGCCACAGTTTCCCTGAAGGCAGAGATGGTGTCTAATTCTGCTCCGGAGCCCCAGACCTTTTGATAATGATTGACACATGGCTCCTAATAAATACATGTTTGTTGAAAAATGAATTTCGTTTAATCCTTACATTATCTCTAGGAAATAGATATTTATTTATCTATCTATCTATCTATTTATTTATTTATTTATTTTGAGTTGGGGAACTGGGGATTGAATTCCAGGGGCACTTGACCACTGAGCCACATCCCCAGCCCTATTTTGTATTTTACTTAGAGACAGGGTCTCACTGAGTTGCTTAGCACCTCGCTTTTGCTAAGGCTGGCTTTGAACTCTTGATTCTCCTGCCTCAGCCTCCCAAGTCGCTGGGATTACAGGCGTGCACCACTGTGCCTGGCTGGAATAGGTATTTCTATCCCATTTCTACCCATGAGGAAACTAGAAGTCAAAAGTAAACTAACTTGGATAAGCTTATATGATAGTGAAACAGAATCAGGACTTAAATCCAGCTCTTGTGATTCAATGATGAAAGTATTTCCTACTTTGCCACAATCATCTCCTAGATGAATGAGAGAGTGCATGTGAAAGCATTTTGAAAATTAAAACGTATGGACAGGTACTGTGAGTATCAACTGCTACTTGACCTTAGCCCGGATATCTTGTTCACGCTGTGTCCCTTATCTATTACTGCACTTGTTGCAACAGGGATCCAACCAACATGTTGAAAGGAGTCACACAGTACTAGAAGGCTGAGGAAACAAGACATCACTACGAATTTCCCTTTTTATTCTGGAACCCCTAAAATAACTAGTCACACAAAATCCTGGAAGAGGGTATACTGTAAACACTTAACAAGTGCATGCCAAGGACACTGAATACAAAAACAGAAATCTGACCATTCTGACCAATCAACACAAGGCTGGCTATTATTTAGCATTCATGCTATGACTACATATCACACTGCCCTGTAGGACAGAGGTCAGCTAACTGTGAGTTATGTTCTTAGCCATTTGTACCACTAACCATTTATATGATTAACACAAAAACATTTTAAACTTTACATAATTTAGATATACATTCATTTAAAGTTTATAAAGTACAATAAATCTGTAATTATAACTGGGAAAATCTTTAAATAGTAATGAAGGGAGGAGTATCCCTAGTTGATAACAAACATACTATAAAGTCTCTATTATTAAATATATAATGTGCTGGTACCAGCACTTCAATAGACTGACCCCTGGAACAAAACAGAAAGTCCAGAAATGGACCAATTAATATGGAAATTGAGTATGTGATACAGGTAGTATCCCAAGTCATTCAGGAAAGGATAGACTAAAATAAAGATTAATCAGGTCAACCTCAAAAAAATTAAAGATTTTTAAAACATTGTTTTAATTGTAGATGAACACAATACCTTTATTTTATTTATTTATTTTATATGGTGCTAAGGATCAAACCCAGTGCCTCATACATGCTAGGCAAGTGTTCTACCACTGATCCACAACCTCAGCCTCCTCCCCCCAAATTAAAGATTTTTGCATGGTTAAAACCTAGAGAAAATATTTACAATATATATCAGAAATAAATGGCTAATGTCTTTGGGCTGGAGTTGTAGTTCAGTGATGGAGCGCTTGCCTAGCATGTGTGAGGCACTGTATTCGAACCACAACATCACATATAAAAAAATAAAAGGTACCTTAACAACTAAAAAAAAATATTTTTTTTTTCAAAAAAAAAGCTAATGTCTTTGGGGCCGGGGTTGTGGCTCAGTGGTAGAGTGCTTGCCTAGCATGCATGAGGCACTGGGTTCAATGACTAGCACCACATAAAAATAAACAAATAAAATAAAGGTATTGTGCCCATTACAACTAAAATATATATTTTTAAAGGCTAATGTCTTTATAAAGAACTCAAAGTTGGGCTGGGGATGTGGTTCAAGCGGTAGCACGCTCGCCTGGCGTGTGTGCGGCCCGGGTTCGATCCTCAGCACCACATACAAACAAAGAACTCAAAGTCGGGTTCCAAAAAAGATTAAAAGCTCACCAGAAAAAGAGGTAAAATGCATTAACATGCAATTCATAAAGGGAATAAAAAAGATTCACTAAAGACCCTTAACCAGGTGAAAAGTGCTTAGCTTCACACATAATAAAAGAAATACAAATGAAAACTACACAGAAATGATATTTCTTAACTATCATATTGGCAAAATCTGGATAGTACTCTCTATTATGGTTTGGATCTGAAAAGTCCCCAAATTCTTGTGTTTTGGTCCTCAGTACAGCAATATTCAGAGGAAGGACTTTTAGAAAATGACTGGCTCATGAAGGTTCTAACCTCATCAGTGGATTAATCCATTGGGTGGATTAATAATTTGAATGAACTACTGGGAGGAGGTGAAACCGTGGGCAGGCAGTGCATGGCTGGAAGAAGTAGGTCACTGGAGGTGTGCTTGGGGACTATATCTTGTCCCTGACTCTTCCCTCTGTCTCTTTATCTGATTCCCCCTGCTATGAAGCTTTCCTCTGCCAAATTCTTCCACATATTTCTGCCTTGGAGCCAGTTCACCTTGGATTGAAAATTCTGAAACTGTGAGTCAAAATAAACCTTTCCTTACTTAAGTTGTTTATGTCAGGTATTTTGGTCACAGGGATGAAAATCTGACTAACACTCTCAGAGAAGCTACATGGAAGAAGCATTGCTGGCATGAAAAGCAACATGGTACACTCCTATAGGGGATCACTTTGCAGTATCTAACAAAATTACATATGTATTTACCCTTTGACCCAGTTCTAATACTTCTGGGAATTTATCCCCCCAAAGACTTGTAAGATTACAAAAATATATGCACATTCATTGCATCATTGTTCGCAATAGCAAAATACTGTAAACAACCTAAATGCCCTACACAGGAGATTGGCTGGGCAAACTATTATACATGGGCACATACCAAAAAGCTAAATACCAACGAGAAAGAGAGCTTTAATTGCAGTGGAATCATTTTCAGAATATCTTGTTAAGCAAAACAGGAAAGATATAAAAGGTATGCCACCCTTGGCTTAAGAAAGGTTTTTGGTTGTTGGTGGTGGCAGTTTGTATTTGTTTTGCAAAAATAAACACAACAAAGAATGTTCAAATATGGATATAAACATGCCCCAGGGAACCAACCTGAATGAGCTCAAATTTTGAGCATTAAAAAGAGAAATGACGGGGCTGGGGATGTGGCTCAAGCAGTAGCGTGCTCGCCTGGCATGCGTGCGGCCGGGGTTCGATCCTCAGGACCACATACAAAACAAAGATGTTGTGTCTGCCGAAAAATAAAAAAATAAATAAATAAAAAAAAAGAGAGAGAGAGAGAAATGATGGGGGCTGGGGTTGTGGCTCAGAGGTAGAGCACTTGCCCAGCACATGCAAGGCCCTGGGTTTGATCCTCAGTACCACATAAAAATAAATAAATTAATTAAAGATATTGTATTCAACTACAACTAAAAAATAAATATTTCTTAAAAATATAAATAAATAAATAAAAGGTATTGACAGCTACAACTAAAAAAATAAATAAATATTTTTTTAAAAAAACAGAGAAATGATGGGCTAGGGTTGTGGTTCCGTGGCAGAGCACTTGGATAGCATGTATGAGGCACTGGGTTCGATTCTCAGCACCACATACAAATAAATAAAATAAAAACCATCAACAACTAAATAAATAATTAAATAAGTTAAAAGAGAGAGAGAGAGAGAGAGAGAAATGAGCGGGGTGCGGTGGCACATGCCTGTAAAGCCGGTGGCTCAGGAGGCTGAGGCAGGAAGATCTCACGTTCAAAGCCAGCCTCAGCAAAAGTGAGGTGCTAAGCAACTCAGTGAGACCCTGTCTCTAAATGAAATACAAAATAGGGTCGGAGATGTGGCTCAGTGATTGAGTGCCCCTGAGTTCAATCCCCAGTGCCCTCCACTCCAATTAAAAAAAAAAAAGGAGAGAAATGAGCTGGGTGAGGTGGCACACCCCTGTAATTCCAGAAATTTGGGAGGCTGAGGCAGGAAGATCACAAGTTGGAGCCTTAGTAACTTAGCAAGACTCTAAGCAATTTAGCATAAAACTGTCTCAAAAATGAAAAGGGCTGATGATGTGGCTCAATGGTAAAGCGCTCCTGAGTTCAATACCTGGTACCGAAATCAAAACAAAATAAAACATACACACACACAAACCAACAGGTAACAACAGGAATGTATTAAGACACATTTAATGCGGGACATGCCTATAATCCCAGCCTCTTGGGAGACTGAGGCAGAAGGATCCCAAGATTGAGGCCAGTCTGAGCAACTTAGCAAGACCTTGTCTCAAAATAAAATAAAAAGGTCTGGGATGTAGCTCAGTGGCCCTGAGTACCTCAACACACATGGACACACATACACATGCATTTAACAACAACAAACAAAAAATTTAAGAGTCCATAATGACACTAAACACACACAGATTGGGTGCAAAGTGAAGAGAAAGTTTTCTTTACAGAACAATGCCAACCAATGAAAATACCTAGAAGGGATAGAAATAAAAAGTCACCAGTTTAAAACCACAATAGTTGGTTCAACCAAGAATCATCAGTTGATGCTAAAACTATCGGTGAAGATTGTTGACCAACAGGATGCAGAGAAATCTAATGAACATCTTCCTAACCAAATGATCAAATGTAGCCTCACCAGTAAAGGGACAAACTGATATCAGTTGGCCCAACCCCACCTGTGGGTACTCTTATCAACCTGAATATAATGACTAAACAGTTGGGCAAATCCAAAATGAGGCATGTTCTGGAAATGATGGGCTAGGGTTGTGGTTCCTTGGCAGAGCACTTGGATAGCACGTATGAGGCACTGGGTTCGATTCTCAGCACCACATATAAATAAATAAAATAAAAACCATCAAAAACTAAATAAATAAGTAAATAAGTTAAAAAAGAGAGAGAAATGACATTAAAGACATTTTAGACTTCTAAAATGTCGTTGTCATAAGAATCAAAAAAGAGAAAAACTGAGGACTATCAAAGGAAACCAAAGAGACCTGATTAATAAAGGCAACGCATTATCCTTGATTGGATCCTGGAATCAGAAAATAAAAACAATACAGTGATAATTGGGGAAATTTGAATATAGCTTGGATATGAGTTAATAGAAGTGCAATAACGGTCATTTTCCTGAATGGATAATTGTATCATATTTATATTGCAAATGTCCTTGTTCTTGGGGGACACATTCCAAAGTAATTGGGGTGACGTGCCCTCATAGCTCCAGCTATGTTTCAAACAATTCAGGGAAAAGAGATAAAGCAAATGTGGCCAGAGGAGTTAGTGAATCTAGGGAAAAGCCTGTGAGTGTTCATTGAGCTATTCTTGCAAATTATTCTCCAAGTTTGAAATTTTCAAAATAAAAATCTGAGTGTAGTTTACATAAAAAATATTTCTACTACTAAAGATTCACAAGCCCTAATGGAAGCCTCCTTCTTTTAAACAATTCCAATCCATTTAGAAAGGTAAACTCAACATCTAGAGAAAGATAAAAACTAACAAAGACAAAGTGGATAGATTTGAGTACAGAAAATTTTAAATAACTTATCTCCATATCAAAAACATAGAAATCAAAGAAACATAATAAGCTGGAAAGCTTTAAAACAGAAAAAAAAAAGTTACTTGGTCTATACATCTCCTTACAAATCAGAAAGAAAATAAACAACTCCTAAAAAGAATGAGAGAATATACTAGAAAGAGAAGAAGAACTAAAAGAAAAAGGATCAAATGGCCAATACATATCTTTAGATATGCTACCCAATGTTCAAAGGGTGTGAGGGAACAAGAAACTTTGCACTTTGTGTATTAGGGATTATGATGCCATCAGGAGCCTAGAAGTGTGGAGAGGTACAGAACATGAAGGAAGGCCAAGGTGACATGAGATCAATCAGAGAAGACTTTTTAGAAGACAGGCAAATCTCATAGGAGACAATGAATGTGGGAAGCATGACAAGAAGCAGAGAGGTAACAAATGCACACCACTTGGAGGAGATGACAAAGATGTACATTAGAATGAGAACTGCTCAGGGGAAAAAAGTTTCCATAGACTTCTTCGTCCAGTGAGGCAGCAGCCAGTTGTGTCTGGTCAAGTGGGGAAACGTCCTGAAGAAGATGGTTCAAATAATGGATGAGAGACCACATCCCTCCAGGGCAACCCACCAAGGTCTTGGGTCTGCCCCATGGAGAGTGGGCAGATGGTGAGTGTGAAAACTAAGACCCAGCGATGTAAAATTGCTTTTTTCCTTGGTTTACACAGCAGAGCTGGACTAGCACCCAGTTTTCCTGATGCCCATTCTAAACTAAAATGCAAAGTACACACAATCTGATTATTATTTCTATGATTATTATCAGTGTTTGTCCTTGATTATAATTTTTATTATAATTTCATTATCAAGCAGGGGACCATATCAATGCAATATATACACTAAGTCCAGCATAGAATATTTTGCCAAAAAGCCATGCCCTAAAGGTTTTTAGATTGTGATGATAACTAGAGTATCCACAATTAACCTGTCCCAAAGGATAAATGAGCATCTGTTCAGTAATCCTGCCCGTTTTGCATGTTCCTAGAGGGAGCTGAACCCAGTAGCTCTTTGCCTTGGAAACTCTGTCTAGTGACCTGGTAACTCAAGAATTGCCTGGCTGAATTGGCAGGGGGGCTAGATATTGCTCTCCTCCTGCTTTGGGTTTTCAATTTCTGGAATCCTTCCCTCTTTTATCCCCTCATTGTGGATATTACTTTCTCATCCCCCTTACCTGGATGAAGTTTCCTTCATATTCAAAGAACAGCAGTGGCCACATGATACTGATGATGGAGGGAAAGAGCTTCTTCAGAGGGGTCTGAAGGTAAACAGAGAGGAGCAGGAGTGAGTAGCATGTCCAGGAAGGCCTGGCTATAACTGCCACCCAACGTCCCCTCCTCAAGGCTGGAGCCTCACCGGCAGAGACTGCCCCACAGTGCTGTGTGCCAGGGCCTGGATGTTAGTGGTCTTCTCTTTCACCTGCTCCACCAGTGTCCGCACCTCCATGAGGTTGTCTAGGGGTGGGCATCAGAGTTGAAAGATGTGCTACTCTCCTTCCTGCCACCCTGAGCTCCAGTCAGGACACTCACCCCATCCCTCCCTCTTAACAGGTGTCCTAAGATCCAGAGAAATGACAGCTTCTCTGCTACCCTACCACTTCCAGCCCTTCACCCTTTCACTCCCACCTCCCCTCTTACCATCCAGGGTGAAAATGAAGAGCACAGTGTCAATTTCCGTGATAGAAGGCAGGATGGAAGTCAGGAAGTCCTCCTGAGAGAAGGTGAACTGGGGACCCTGGGGCAGAAGATGATGGGAGAGTCCCTTCCATGAGAACACTCCAGAGCACAAGACTGAAAAGGACTTAGAGGACACCAAGTGCAGCCCTTTGGACTACAGATGTAAAAATCAAGGTTCAAAAAGGTAGTGTTTTTGCCCAAGATGATGTAGCAAATCAGTGGACTGGAGCCAGGTTTTAAGAAGTAAAACCAGAGCCGTCCACACCCCCCAAGCTGCCTCAAAGCCTAGTGACCTCTAATCCATATTCCCTTCTCTGGACAGTTTATCCCATCGTATTCTCACTTCCACCCTCACCTTCCCCTATTCTCCCTCCCCCTGCACACCAGTGAAATTCACAACTTCTCCAACTGTCTTCCTCTGACCTGGTTGGTGAGCTCAGCCTTCTGGTTAAACATGTCACTATGATCACCCATAAGAAAGCCACGGACATCTCGGAAATCTGGAAAGTTTAAAGACAAAGAGAAGTGATGGGGTTTATAGGAAAGGAAGGCTCTAGGCTTTAGGAGCTGGGAGAAAAGCAGAAAGTGGGGTGTGGGTGAGGAGTTACCCATGTGGGAGGCCATAGTCATGAGCAGAGGTGGGAGTTGAGAGATCAGGGACTGAGATGGGATGGAAAGGACAAATAATTTGATTGAAATGCCTATTTAGGTAGGGCAGGATGGACACTGAGGAACCTCTGTGAGATCCTCCATGGGTTGACAGGAAAATATCTGGATAGTGGACAAATTAGTTGGAGTCAGGTGGAATCAGGAAGAATGTTGGGACTGGGAACCCACCAGCGCCAAAAGTGTGGATGCACTCTACTCCATCCATGATGGCAATGATGCCAAGGGTCTGCCAGCCAACCAAGTGCACTCGGCCTTTCTTCTCCAGGCTGACAATGCATCAGAGATCAGGACATGAGTGATCACCAGAGGTCAGAAATACACATGGAAGAGCATAGGTGTAAACAAACAAGAGTCAACCACGACCCTTCGGGTAGATCCATTCACCTCCCTATGTTAGCATATCTCACAGATTCCCTACTCTCCCCTGCTCCTAGGATGACCCTTCCAAACACAAATCCAAATACCTGGTGCTGACTTGCTTCATCAGGGTGGCAATCTTGGAGCTCTGACTGTAGGTCACCTGATGAGCCCGCTCAAATGTCCGGAGGATTTCCAGGAGGCATCTAGAAGAAAAGTCAACAGTTCCCAGGAGGGCCCAACATCTCAGAAGAAAATTTAGGTACTCCCCACCCCATCTAGGGAAAGGCACAATTCTCATAAAACTAAAGCTGCTGGTCCATGGTGAGGTGGGCACAAAACTAAAGAGCAGAGAGAGGAGTAAGGGCATCAAGAGAGCTTTGGGGGAGGATGGGATCAGAGAGTAGATGAGAAAGTAAGTGAACCATCTGGGAGTTAGACTAGAGACTAGGGAAGGAGGCCATAACGGGATGGTCTCCAGCCTGTATGACCTGGATCATGCCCAAGTTAATAACCTCTGGACCTGGTCCTCCCATTTCCCCCTCCATCGTCCAGCTGACTGTGATCTATCTCTTGCCCAGATCCTTCATACCTTTGAGATGCTGCAATGCCACGGTCCACAGTCTTATGAGCTGCTAACAACAGGGTTTCCAGCAAGATCTTGGTGGCACTTCCCCCTTTCATCCGGGAGGAACCGCTGAGACCCTCAGGCTGAGGAGGCAATGATACTCAGAAGGGATTGATAGAGGAAGGAACCTGCAGTCCACCAGTTAGTGACCCTGGACACAGAATATAGTTGGTGATCTCTGGGCATGGAATGTGGTTGGTGACCCTTGGGCATGAACTCTGGTAGGTGACCCCTGGATATGTACCCTGGTTAATGACTTTGGGCATACACTCTGGTTAGTGACACCTGGGCATGTATCTTGGTTTGAACCTTGGGCATATACTCTGGTTAGTGACCTCTGAGCATGTATCCTGGTTAAAGACCTTGGGGATGCACTCTGGTTAGTGTCCCTGAACATGCTTTCAATAATGTGTTGTGGAAAGGAATGCTTGGGTAGGCTTAACTGAAAGAAAGAGGGAAAAGGCTACCTCTGGTCATCCTTGTGGTGCTTCAGGATTCTCATGGAGGAGGTCTCTTCTGAATTGAGTCACGGGTTTTTTCAGAGGATGTTTTTTTTATGAAACTTTCTCCCCACTTCTCCCACTACCATGTTTTGTGGTAGTTTGTCAACCCAAATGTCACAGTTCCCATGCTTTGGACAAACCCATGAAGCAGCCATTGCAATAGTACCGATTTGTAACACAGCATTCCAAAAACTACAGCAAAGATAATTTAAAAAGCAGTGATTGAGAAAAGAAGATTGAGAGCCCGTAGAGTGGAGGAAAGAGATGAGCATGGAAGAGAGAAAGTGGTGGAAATCTTCTGTAGTATGGAATTTCCTCTTCTTATCTCACACAAGGAAGATCAAGGAGAATGTCATAAATGTGCCCACCACAGGCAGAGGGAGGCAATGGCAAGGCTTTGGCTAAGGCCAGAATAAGGGTAGATGGTACCAGTAAGATGCATCCGCAACCCAGAAAAGAGGAAGACAAATCAAAGACAAAAATTAAATAGGAGCCCAGAGGCTAAGGCCTGCTCCATCCTGGAGAGGATGCAGAAAGACAGGAATGGAACAGCATCCCATATTTGAAATTTAAATATATGAAAGAGTCTAAATGAGACAACAATGGCTAGACCAGGCTGTCTGTACCCAGATAGAAAAAAGCTACCCTAGATCACTGAAGTGTTTAATAGTTATTGATTTGAGAATCAGAGTTGGAATAAAGATAAAACACCTCAAAATGAAAATAGGATTTCATTTAAAACATGCTAGATGACACACGATACCTCAGGAATTTGAGCAAGATGAACTGAACCACAAATCAGAGGCCCTAAGCAGCAATTCCCAGATGCTTGAGGGAGGGCATAGAAAAAGGAGAGAGAGGCCGTACCCCTACGGCAGGATTGAGCACAAAAGCTTCCTGTTTCTCTTGCATTTTCTGCATCCGCTCTGCTACTTGCCGGAATGTTGAACTCCAGTCTTCAATGGGGTCATTTCTGGAGTCCAGAGAGAAACAGAGGTAGAAGAATTGTCTGTGAGGATCTAAAGGCAGGGCTTCCATTGGGAGTCAGGGTCAATGACCACATTAAGATTGGAGTCAGAGGTCAACAACTTTGTAGAGAGATATGCTTTGGAGCTCATGGGGTAGTGTGTCCTTGAACCCCAAGGATAGGATTAATAATACTTTCAGCAAAGTTTTTAGCAGAGCAAAGCTAATACTCAAGTTTAAAGTTCTAGCAGGAGACAAGAACCTTGTATCCTGGCCCTAGCATCAGCCCCACTGCCATAAGCCCCACAGCCATGGCCACCCTAACCTTGCTCTCTGTGGCCCACTAGGGGAATGCCCATCGCCAAATGTCAGAATTGCCTTCTATCTTAGGGTCCTTTAGCAGCCCTTCCCGTTACTGGAAATACATTCTGGAAATCCTTCCAAAGAAGGAGGGAGGGATAAGTCCATAGTGAGGGAACCAAGCTACAAGACACTGTTTGTTTGTTTGTTTGTTTGGGGGTGCTAGGAATTTATACCCAGGGCTGCTTAAGCACTAAGCCATATCTCCAAACCCCCACCACCCCCTTTTCTTTTTCTTTTCTTTCTTTTTTTTTTTTTTTTTTGATGGTGCTGGGGATTTGCACATGCAAGGCAAGCACTCTACCAACTGAGCTATATCCCCAGCCCTCCAGCTATTTATTATTATTATTTTTTTTTGCAATAGGACCTTGCTAGTTGCTTAGGGCCTTGAAAAATTGCTGATGCTGGCCTTGAGCTTGAGATCCTTCTGCTTCAGCCTCTGGAGTTGCTGGAATTACAGGTGTGTGCCAATAAGACTGTAATTTTTTTTTTTTTTTTGGAGACAGAGTCAGGCTAGGTTTGAACTTATGATTCTCCAGCCAAACCAAGACACTGGGGTAGAAGACAAGCGCCACCATGCTTGGCTAGCTGCAAGGTATGAAGCATACATAGCACCTGACAATTGGCAGGCATTCCTTGAATAAATTAATCAAGAACAAATTAATCAAGAACAAAGCAATGTGTTAATGAGATAAGAGAGCTACAGGCTTGTTATCTGCTTAGTTACAAATCATAGAATGTCAAAGAATGAGTATCTCCTGTATTTACTTGCTAGGGAACAATTTGTGAATCACCTACTGTGACAGGACCTCAAAAAGTCACTTCTGCACATTGCATCCCTAACTTCCCCTTATCATCAATCCCTGCAAAGATTCCCTTCCTTCTTGAACTATTTTGATATATTTTTTCTTTTGTATAACTCCTCTTCTTCTTCTCCTTCTCTCTTCCTCTCCTTCTCTTCTTTTCATTTTTTTTTCTTTTTTTCTTTTTTTTTGTACCAGGGATTAAACCCAGGGACTTTTGTAAATTGCTTAGGGTTTTAGGGTCTTGCTAAATTGCTGAGGCTGGCTTTGAACTTGTAAGCCTCCTGCAGCTCTTTTGTGACTTCTAAAGCAGACAAGTTTTACGTATTTCATATCCATTGCATAAAGTTATTTCTTATCAATCATTTATCCTCAGGCTATTTCTAAAACTTCCTAGAATCTTTAAGAAAGAGGAGACTTAAGCAAAGAAGTGAAATAATGTCTATATCGTGTGGTTTAAAATTCAAACTCCTAGACTTGGGCTGGATATTGAAATCACCAGGGGAGTTTTGTTTTTAATAATTATCCATTTCTGGATGTCATATTCACCCTCAGATTCAGAACCAACAGTTCTGGAGCAGAACCCAAAAATCAGTATATTTTAAAAGCTTCTCAGATGACTCTGAAGATCAGCCAAGTTTGGGAGTCACTGATTTAAGGAACAACTGGAAGATCTCCACGCCTACATTGTTTGAAATTCTTCATTTCACTTAGTCACAGGACCTGAAATTAGCATCCACTGCAGCAGATATATTTTTGGTGAAGGAGAGTCCTCCATGAAAAGGATCAGGGTTAGGAGTATCTCAGACTCATTTACACCTTTCGTAGGAATTATACTACGAATCTAGAGTCTGAAACTTGGAAAAATACCTCCAAAAGTACCCAACTCATTTGCCTCCCCAAGACCACCACAAAACATGCAAAGCTGCTCTAAAATAATCAAAAAGCCAATGTTGTGATCCTTTCAGTGACAGGAAGCCCTCAGTCATATCAGGTGGCCCACTCCATGAGTTTATTTAGCAGATTCCTCTAAAACTGGCTGTACAGTGGAATCTCCAGGGACACTTGTTTAAAATGGACATTTTGGGGCTTTACCTCCAAATCAATAAAATCAGATCTCTAACACAAGGGGCTAAGAATTTTTTTCCCTCTCGTTTGTTAATACCCAGGCACCCTAAGTCTGGAACCACATCTGCACACTATTAGTTAACTTTCTCTGATATCAGACAAAATGGCCATTTAGATAAAGACTAAGAGGGAGGTTGTTTGACAGCACAGGGCTCTCAGGGAAGGAAGAGGGGGGTGGATTTGAACAGCCAGAGAGGAACAAAAGGGTGCCTGGAATGAAGAGAAATTTTGGGAATGAAAATAAGAGAGCTGAATAAACAGGAGTAGGTGCCACTTGGCATCTGCAACTTTGAAAAGACCCTTGGTGCTCACCCTAAATAAAAGCACAGATCTTTGTGGTATGCATTCTCCTCACCCCAATTTTTCTGCTCGCCCTTGTTTTCCTTAACTCTTCAATCCTTCTTTAGAATGTATGCCAACTTTTGTATTTGTTATGTAACCTTTGTAAACTGCCTTCAATCCTCTCTGAAATCAGGGGAGAATAATTCAATCAACCAATCAACAAAAAAAAACTTCATAAACTTAGGGGTACCCCATATTTACTTTAGTATTCTGAGATTTGGCAAACAAAACTATTCCATCTGTCCTCCTTTTGTAATTGTACTATAGACTTTGGCATGTCGGCCCCAACCTCCCCCAGGGCTGGCCAGTCATTACAAAAGGCTCACCTGGCCATGCTCACTGGATTGAAACCAACCAGGACAGGCAAGAAGACATCTGTGTTGTCCATGCAGTAATCCATCTGGCCTGCCACAAAGGGAGCCTGATGGTGGTGAGAGAGGAGGACATGAGGAGGGGGTTACTCTGAGTGTTGCCCCAAGGCCCCTATGCATCAGAATCCCCCAGAATGCTTGTTCAAAAGGGAGATTCCTAGTGATTAAGAGGATCCTAAATTGGGGGCTAGGGATGTAGCTCAGTGGAAGGTGCTTGCCTAGCATGCACAAGGCCCTGGGTTTAATCCCTAGTATCACAAAAAGAAAAAAATCCAAATTTAAAGCAGAGGCACATTTTTAACAGATACCCTAAGGATCCTACATTTTTAGTAAGTTTTTCTAAGGAAATTTTCTATTCTGTAAAGTTTGGAAATTACTGAACTAAACTGCAAGCTTCTGGAAGTCAGTATCCTCTTCTCCTTGTATGCCTCCCTCCATGGCATGCACTGCTGGGATCTAGATTTCTGCTCACTGAATTCTCTCTGATTGAGAGCTGTGGAGTTGACAGGAACCTTGGGGTCCCTAGTTCAGTGCTTCTCAAACAAACTATTAGAGAATCTTGTTAAAATGCAGATTTGGACTCAGTGGGTCCTGGCTGGAATCTGAGATCCTGAATTTTTTAATAAATTCCAGGTGATGATGTTGTTGGTACAAGGACTAATGTTCATGTAGCAAAGGACTAGCCCAAGGGACATATTTTTCTGAAAAGAGCCAGGGAATAAATACTTTAGGCTATGTGGGCCCTATGATCTCTGTCCAACTAGTCATCCCTAGTGCTATAGCACAAAAGAGGCTGTAAACTGTTTGAAAACACAAGTGGCTATGTGCCAGTTAAGCTGTTTACAAAAACAGGCAGCTAGTTAGATTGACTGCCAGCATAGTTTGCTGACCCCTGGACTAGTCCATATATTTTGATTGATGATGGATCAATACACAGTTATTCTGAGATAGGATCTCTTTTCCCTCCTCCCACATTCATACAACTGGATCTAAATTAGTAAAACTAATTAAAATTCCTTGTGCAAATTTTCTGTTTTCTAGCACCCATATTGTCTACCTTCCATACTATTCCATTCCCATCCCTTTTCTTCTTGTAAAATTGATCCACTCAACCTGCCTTCACACTTACAGAGAGTCCCACTGAAATGCCAATGACGATCACCCTTTTTTTCCCAGCAGTCACCTAGGGCAGGCAGGAAGATGAGCAAGGTAAATAACTGGGAGGACTCCTGGGCCCACCCAATAATAATATTACTTATCGGGGCCAGGACAGACTTGATCTGAATGTTGGGGCTTTTATGTCCCCATGAGAAGGAACAGACAGAGGTCTCTGGTTGAATATTAGTAGGAAGCACAGACCTTCTTCAGTTCCTCAATCCCGTGTAGGGCACTGTCTTCTGTCCTTTCCCTAGAGGCCACCACAGACCTATAAGGGCAGACTTAAGGTCAGAGGCACTGGTTGTAAAGCAGAAGTCTATGGCTTATTAGGGCAAGTTATGCTGAGAGAAGGGAATGAAGGAAAACAATCATTGAATGAACACCTACTGTTTGTTGGGCACCATGATAGACACTCCATAGAGTTGAAACACTCAAATACCTACAAAGGCCAGTCAGGTAACCTAAGTATGTAAAGTAGGCCAAAAGTAAGGCAATAAAGAATGCTGGGGACTGAGGTATTTTGGAAATAATCTTTGTCTAAAGTCATTCAAATTCAGGTTCTAAAATAACACATATTCAGGCCAAATGAAACATTTATAGGCCAAAGTGACTTACCTGTCACCCCCTGCAATGAGGTAGGTATAAAGAGGTTTTTGTCCTAGACCTTTCATTAGCTGGTTAAAGGAGACCTGTCAACAGGGAGAATATGTGAAGAAGTAAAGACAGTGAAGGAACAAGTAACTTGGACTTTCAATTCCTAAAGGGTAAAAACTGTATAATTATCTCCTAGGCCAGTGCTTAGCTCATTCCTACTTGGAATCTGCCAGTTAAAGATGCTAGTTGGAGATGATTACTTAGGGATGCATGGGATGTAGAGACATTACCAATAGAATGGTGGGTCTCCAATGGGCTCAGGAGAAATGGGACTCCATGGTGGGATCTAACTTTTGGAGGAGAGGATGAAGCATGCAGCCCAAGTCTAATGAAGGGTCCACCTAGAAACTTAGCTATGATGACCTTCATGGACCTGGGGAATCATCTGCAGAAGGGAGAGAGAGGAAGGAAAACTGGGGAACGGGGTACTCACTGACATGAGGAATGCCATCCGGCCAGAGGTGCCCCCTCCACTAAGTACCACCAGCGCTTCCTCTGGCTCCTGAGGAAGGAAAGATATCTAGATTGCCAGGACCCAGCTGGAATATAGGGAAGCACTTTCTTTTCTTTGTCATTAATGAAAGAGGACTTCAAGGGACTCCTTATCCCTCCTTGTATCACAAAACTGAACACAACATTGGCTATGTGGTATAGTCAAAGGAACACTGGATTGGAGAAAGAAACTTCAGTTTGACTCCCATCTCTGACATAGCTATTTATTCAGTCCATAATTTATTCTAGAAGGGGCTGAGAGCAGCTTTATCATTCAAATAAAAACTTAAAAGCAGTATTATCCAATAATTATTAGCATTTGGGCAAACTACTGTGATTATTCTAAGTCTTTTCTTTTTCATCTGAAAGTAAACAGACAGTAATACCAACTTCACAAGTCTTTGTGTGGATAATGGATGTGAAAGTTCAGGGTCAATTATAAAGTATTATGCAGTTAATAGTTATTATTATTATTATTATTATTATTGATTAATAAGATTACAATAAGGATCCAAGAGGGAGGACTGAAAAAATGGACAACTAAGATCCATAAAATAAGAAATGGAGACCAAAGAAAGAGAAAGAGGGAAACGGAATAGCGTAGGCAGGGAACAAACAAATCATCAGTACCTTCAGCACATCCTGAACTTTCTCAGCCACTTGCACCATGGTGGTCAGAACTGATTCACTGTATAGTCTCTACAGGGATGAGGCAGGAATCAGAAGCCAAGAAAGGGAGGTCAGTGGATCAGGATGGAAGAAGAGAGGGTTCTCGGGGTTTCCAAAATCAGGAGCCATTGTCTGAGAGGGCAGAGGCTGAGAGGGGGCTGGGGTTAGCATCTTTATCAACTGTGTCCAGGGGCTGGGGCTGGGTCACCTGGTATGTGGGCATGGCTTGCCCCTCCTCCTGGAAGATCTCAGCATCACACTGCCCCAGCAATCGAACAACTTTCTCGGCATCTGCTTTGTCCAAGTCCCTGGTCAGTGGGTTTGACTTCTCTGTGATTGGCACAGCTGCCTCATACCCAGACAACTAGAGAGGAAGGGGATAAGGATGGGGCAGGAAGCCAATGCCTCCTTCATGCCTGCTGCGCTGGAGGTAGGAGTGGCAGCAGACAGTGTTTGAACCACACACACACCCCCAACACTCACACACCAGGACCTTAGCCTTCTCTTAATTATTTGAGCCTATTAGGGAAGGAAGATCAGGAGGGAAAATAGGAAGGAAAAAGGAGCGGGCAGAAACCCAGGGTGGAGGGAAAGGAGTCAGTGCAGAAGACCAATATCAAGAAGGGTCTCACCTCCCACTCGCCAGGCTCTGGGGTCTCAATCACGTGTTGAAACCGTTTTGTGCCTGGCATGGTCCTATAATATGGACACACTGTTCTGCCTGCCTCTTCAGCCACACAAACCCCTCTGGTCATAATGACTCTGCTTCCAATTGGCAGGGCTTTATCTGAGCCACAGAGATGATTAACCCAAGAACCCTGGCCTCTCTGAGCACCTCCCCCAGCATCTCTGGCTACACCACTCTTTCCTGGTTACTAGGCTCCGAGCACTCTGGGGGAGCTTCTGGGGTCCTCTTTGTATGCACCCAAAACTTGCCAGCCCCTTCTATATTTTCAGAAGAGGAAGAGCAGAGGTTCATTACTCTTGCCCTTTAGATACAATGCTGTCTTCTTTAGAAGACCTCAAGCTTGGGAGAGCAGGACAATACCCAGTCCAGAGAGAATCTCTGGGCAATCTCTGGATGCCCCAAGAGGCCAGAGGTCAGGGTCCTTGGATCAGCAGAAGTCAGAGGACCTGGGCCATGGCTTGATCACATGCTCAGCACTCTGTTGTTCTTTCCTGCTCTACTAGCCCATTTTTACCTCTCCTCTCAGAAAGGAAAGCAACAGAAGCTTCAGAGCCCCAGGTGTGCACAAACTGAACTGAGTATGGGGCAGGGGAATGCTTCAGAAATAGAAATACTGCAATGAGAACAAAAGACTCTGCCCTAAATACAATGTTATCCAACATTTATTTACTCTGAGCCATGCACTTTTTACATACAGTGTCTCATTGGATATATCAACACCAAGAAATCAATATTAAGCCAGGCATGGTGGTGCATGCCTGTAATCCCATTGGCTCTGGAGGCTGAAGTAGGAGGATCACAAGTCGCAGACCAGCTTTGGCAACTTAGCAGGACCCTGTCAAAAAGTGTGGGGGGAGGCTGGGGGAGCTGGGGTGTAGTTTAATGGTGTAGTGTCCCTGGCTTCAATCACCAGGACTGGGAAAAGGAAAAAAAAAAAAAAAGGTCAATATTGTTTGACATCCTTGTTTTTCAAATCATGGAACAGACTCAGAGAAGTTCAGTTAGCAGTTAGTTGCTTAAAATCACACAGTTGGCTGAACTGATACACCTAAAATCTCCAGATATTATACTAGGCCAAAGCGTGAAATAATTTAGGGACTTTCATTTCCTGAATGAATGAAACAACTAACAGGGTGCAAATCAAAAATAAACACTCACTCACATACTATTATAAGATTTAGAGAGATCTTTCCCCAATATTGTCTCATTTGATCCTCACAACAACCCCATTAGGTTTCATATGCTTTGCTTTATATGTGGAAAAACTAAGATGCAGATTAACCAATTTCTCTAAAACCACACAGAAAGTGGCAGAACTAAGAGACAGGAAGATTTGAGAGAGAAGACAGAGACAGAGAAGACAGAGACAGAGATAGCCAGCCAGCCATAAGTCTTTGCTCTTTACTTCTCCCTCTAAGACCAACACTCTTAACAATCTCTTCATCTCTGGGTCTTAACATAATGCCAGACACATAGGAGATACTTCGTAAATATTTGCTGAATAAATGAAAGAATGAATGAGAAAGCGAAGGGAATCAAATAAGATTATGAATGAGACTTAAAAAGCTGACGCAGTCTACAAGTAATAGATTGTTGAAACAATTATCTCCATCACTGCTCTTCTCAGTCCCCGCCGGCACCGGAGGTGGAATCTCTCCTCCCAACTTGGCTAATTCCTCCCCGGGAAGGAGGGGTTCTCCAGGTGCCCAAGACCCTCGCACTTGCGTCTCTTCCCGCGCCCCCGCCGGATCATCGGCTTGAGTCCGGGGAGGAGGGATTGGGGGCCCGGGAGGCCGCCATTGGGAGGGTCGTGGGAGGAGCCCCGAGAGAACCGGGGTGGGGGGGCCGAAGGGGGGATGACGGCGGCGAGAACCCCGGCGGGGCGGGGCGGGCCCGCACGTCCCGAACGGGCTGCGGCGGAGCGCGCGGGGCCAGCTCTGCAGAAGGCGGCGGCTGGCTGGCTGGCCGGGACGGTCACATCCCGCTGCAGGGGCCGGCGGAGGGAGCCGCACTGCCCTCCGCACCGGGGACCCAGGCAAGCGGCCAGGCCGCGCCGGCAACGCCCCCAGCTCTGGGACAGACCGCGCGACCCGCGCGGACTCTGGGGTCCGCAGACCGGCAGCCGTGCCTACTCCGCCACTGTCCTCTGCCGGCAACTCGGCCTCGCGCTGCCGGCCTCGCAGGGCCAGTGCCGGAATGGGGTAGGGGCAACGCCAGAATCAGAGGATGGGCCGCCCCCTGGGCACCGAGCAGCCCCCGGAGGCCTGACCGATCGCGAGGACCGGCGGAGGTGGGTGTGGGCAGGGAGAACCGCGCACTGGGGTTGCCGCGGGTTATGCGGGGGCGGGGAAGGCGAGCGGAAAACCGGGCTGCTGTGGGCCGTGGGAAGCCTAGGAGAGCTGCTGCCCACTATGCGTTCTGGGCAGCCTCTGACTCTCACAACTCCTGCCTCTTCCAGGAGCCCCGCCTGGATGTTAAGCGGATGCTCCAGTGCCCCCTCAACGGACTATGGGGACCATGGCTTCGCTGATGCCTCTCTCCCCATATCTAAGCCCCACGGTCCTCCTGCTGGTCAGCTGTGACCTGGGCTTTGTGCGAGCAGGTGAGTAAAGACCAATGGGGGTGAGGTCAGCTGGAGCTGTGAGTGAGTGAAACCTGTTAACCTGTTAACACTGGGCACCCACAGACCGACCTCCCTCTCCTGTGAATGTGACGGTCACTCACCTCAGAGCCAACTCGGCCACTGTGTCCTGGGACGTCCCGGAAGGCAACATCGTCATTGGCTACTCCATTTCCCAGCAAGTATGAATCACCCTTCAGCTTCCCCGACCTGTGTCCTTGGATCTCTGCACATTCCTTCATTATATCCACCCTTTAAATTCCCCTCCCAGAGGTGGGGGAATCTGGGAGCTGGTGTTTCTTGGCTCACGCTGCCGTTTTCACCCTACTCCCTTGGAGTGCTTGGATAGTCCGGAGGCCCTGGTTAAGCCTTGTGGCCAGGAACTGGGGTGAGGCTGCCCTCCTCTCCCATCATCTCCCTGCAGCGGCAGAATGGCCCTGGGCAGCGTGTGATCCGGGAGGTGAACACCACCACTAGGGCCTGTGCCCTTTGGGGCCTGGCTGAAGACAGCGACTACACAGTGCAGGTCAGGAGCATTGGCCTTCGGGGAGAGAGCCCCCCAGGGCCCCGGGTGCACTTCCGAACTCTCAAGGGTTCTGACCGACTGCCCTCCAACAGCTCCAGCCCAGGTGAGGGTCTGGGCTAATGAGTTCTTTGGCTTTTTACCTGGCTTATAACCTCATATTTGCTCCCCAAGGCAAGCAATCATCTAGCTTAGATGAATAGAGGGATGATTTATTCATTGTACTGCCAGGAAAGGAAGGAAAAGCAGGTGGGCAGGGGACTGGGTATAGACTCACTGCTAATGAATTCTTTGGGGGAAGGGCTTCTAAGCTTCCTTTCACCCAACCTCGTGTCATTTCAGCTGCAGCCTGCTTGAGTGAGTTCTGTACCTGACCTGCAGCCCTCCTGACTATTGATCTCTAACCACCTGTCCATCAATGGCTTCCTCCCAGGGATAGGCTACCTTACAACTCCAGGGTCCACACTATGATGGGTCCAAACTGATTCTAATCCCCAGCATCTCCATTCTGCAGTTTTAGTGATTCCTCTGTAACTCTGGAGTCTGTTTCCTGTCTTCTCAGGTGACATCACAGTGGAGGGGCTGGATGGAGAGCGACCACTGCAGACAGGTGAAGTGGTCATCATCGTGGTGGTGTTGCTCATGTGGGCCGGTGAGTAAGCTGCTGGTTGGAGGACCAAGTACTTAGGGTGTGGGACTCAGTGAAGGGGGGAGGTGGTGAAGGTTTTTCTGTTAGGAGAAAATGGAATGGGAAAAATGACATGGGGAGATGCTTGTTTGAGGGAGGATCATCAGGACAAGTTTAAAGAGAATGAGAGGAGGCTGTTGAGAGCCCAGAGACAAAGACTGCCTGGACACCAGGAATCCAAAGATTTTCTAGAGGTTGTATGGGTATGTTGTTACTCTCAAGGTTGTGAGTGGAGAGGTTGCCATCAAGGCTTAGATGGTATTGTTGTGTTTCAGCTGTAATCGGGCTGTTCTGCCGTCAGTATGACATCATCAAGGACAATGACTCCAACAACAACCCCAAGGAGAAGGGGAAGGGGCCAGAACAGAGTCCTCAGGGAAGGCCAGTGGGAACAAGACAGGTGATATTGGGCCAATGAAGGTGGGAAGGATAATATGGGCCCAGAGGAGCAGCCAGGGAAAGGGATGAGACCAAAGAGGGGCAGGAAAAAGGGGAGAATGGAAGGTCTGGGTTGGAGGAGGCCAAAGAGAAAGGATGGCATCTACTACCTTGCTGAAATTAAAGACCCAGGTCACTTTCTTTCACAGAAAAAATCATCATCCATCAACACCATTGACGTTTGAGTGAAGATGTGTGAGTGAAGATACAGAACTAGAAGAAAGATGCAGTAACAACCTGGGGATGGGGATGGGGTGAGGTCAGGGAGAGCACATAAAGGTGATCTAACCAAGACTCTAGAGGGTAACACACTCCCATGATCTCAAGCTGGTGCCTATCCTCTTTCCACCGTGAGCAGGGACAGAAGGTAGGTCGGTTAGAGTCTGCACCTCCGGACCTAGAGAGCGGATATCAGATGAAGCATCTCCCATACCCCAGGCCCAGGGAGAGTCATTTATTCAATCCTTTCCCATTAGGTCCCAAATAGGGGCCCCATTTCACCTGCATCAGGACTCTTGGCATCCCCAGCTGCTCTCACATCTTGCCTCTGGGCCTTAGAGAGGGGTGTTTCTGTGGGTACTAGCCCTCCCCCAACCAATAACAGGAATTGCCTGGGACTAGAGGCAGATGCTGCACTGCACTACTCCAATGTCTTCCATGGAGCCTCTGGTGCTCCCTCCTCACCTGGCAGCCCCTCCAGCTGCTGGTGACCTCACTCCTTTGACATTTTTCCAATAAAGGTTCTTGAACAAACTGGAGCTGAGTTTATATTCTATGGTATGCTGAAGACAATCTCCACACCTCTTCACTTATATTTGACTGTACATGGGCAT